TCTCTTGGATATTCTCGACACAGCAGGTCAAGAGGAGTACAGTGCAATGAGGGACCAGTACATGAGGACTGGGGAGGGCTTTCTTTGTGTATTTGCCATAAATAATACTAAATCATTTGAAGATATTCACCATTATAGGTGGGTTTAAATTGAACATAGTAAATTGACATTGAGGACTAATTGTATCTTCCATTTATTGAATCTTTGCTAATCACCATACATAAATTATCTAATTTAAATTTTACAATAATTATGAGGTAGGTAATATCCTGTTTTATAGATGAAGTTCTTGAGAATTAGATAAATTGAGTAACTTGTTCCAGCTTGCGTAGATGGTGGGATAGAGCTGGGATTGGAACCTAGGCCTGTTTGACTCCAAAAACTGTGCTTTTAACCACTCTACACCAGGGAAACAAGGCTGTAAGCTAGAGCTATCATAAAAATGAAAACCATCAACAAAAAATAGGAAAATGTAATTGAGGCAGTGTCACTTAAGTAGCCTTAAAAATAATCAAGTATATTTAGTGTAGAATTTCTTGGAATCGGATATTAGCTATTTAAGAGGAGGAAAACACACCCACAACTTTGAAGTTGTAAAAGACAGGTATTAGAACAATTACAGTTTTTAAAGAAACTGATAAATCAGCCTAAAACTGACTTTTTTTTTTAAAAGATAATCACTATTAAGTATAGTTTATATTGTTTCTTTGAGGATTTACAGTTTTCATAAAACTACATATTCAGCAAATATCCCATTCATTGGTTATGTTTTAACAGCCAGTTAGCCTAGTTAAGAGGTTTACCATTTCTTACAGCATGCTTTCTCTATAGTCTAGTAATACAGGAAAAGAAATTTGGGTGGTTGGTAATATTTTCGTAGAAAAATTGACATTTCATGCTGCATCTTTGAAATTCACTTAAAATTTTGAAGGAATTTAATTTTACCACAAATTTTAGAGTTTATGCACATCTTATTGAAAAAGAAGGACTTTTACGGAATAAACAGGGTAGTACACATAGAAATAAAAATCTTTCCACTTGTTGCTCTTTTTTGTGAGAAAAATGTGAAAATTAATGTTTTAATTCATGGTTTTATAAAAACATTTTTAATTCTATACAAACATGTAACAGCATATAGAATATATGTTTCTAAGATTATAATTTTAAAAATTAGGCATACCTTTTTTGTGGTCTAGAATTTTCAGTATTTTCTATTTTTTCATGAACCTATTAGATTGTAGTTTTAGTATATTTCTAGGTATTAGATCTTGTAAGAGACATAGAAGTTCTCTCTTTAAGATGGAGAAGAACAATACTGAAAAGGAGAAACAAAATTTGGTGTGATGGGAACCAGGAATTAAATTAAAAGTCTTCATTAGGCCATATTTTATAAGAAAAGGTGTGTACAATTTTTGTATTTCTAATACCTGTCATGCAACTTTTTTTTCCTCCCCAGAGAACAAATAAAAAGAGTTAAAGACTCTGAAGATGTACCTATGGTCCTAGTAGGAAATAAATGTGATTTGCCTTCTAGAACAGTAGACACAAAACAGGCTCAGGACTTAGCAAGAAGTTACGGAATTCCTTTTATTGAAACATCAGCAAAGACAAGACAGGTAGGTAAAACTGTAATAAATACAAATCTATTCTCTTATCTGTATCAAGTGATTTTAATTAACCATGGTACACTAATATATCTCCTAATAACATCATTTTGGGGGCAGGAAGGCTAAACATAAGTAAATGTACATACATGAGAGCATAACTATTTTATTATTGAGTGTAATTTATCAGTTTTTCCTACTGCTATACTAAAATAGGAAGTAAAACTAATTATTTGGAAAATGCTCCTTTAAGGATATGAAAGGGCAGTACTTCTTAATCAAGTCTCCATGCTATTACTTTTGGCTTTGGTTTCTTTCCACATGGAACATTCTGTTCAACTCAGCACATCTTACATTCAAGAAATGTGGGGATTTTTTACTTATTATTATTTTTTGTGCTGTGATGTTTATAAAATGAAAGAACAAGGGAACAAATATTGAGTTCCCTATTTTGGAAGTGCTTTTAAGAGTCTTATGTCATATGTTTCTAGGTTAAATTTTGTTGTATTTGAAGTATTTTCCTTTGGTAGAGGTTTTGTAAGGATATATTTTAGGAGAAAGTTTTCAGTAAAGCAAGAGACTATTTAGAAAATAAATAGAAATTCGCAGTTATTCATTTACTGGGTTGTTCAGACAAACATTAATGCTAGTTTGATCTTTTATTTTTAAAATTACCTATAATTTATTTATTTATTAGTTTATTAATTTTTTTGTTAATCCTCACCCTGGGATATATTTTCCATAGATTTTTAGAAAGGGTGGGAGGGAGGAAGGAGGAGAGGGAGAGGCAGAGGGAGGAGGGGGAGAGAGAGAGGGAGGGAGAGGGAGAGGGAGAAAGAAACATCGATGTGAAAAGGAGACATGGATTGGTTGCCTCTTGCACACACCCTGACTGGGGCCGGAATCAAACCTGCAACCCAGATATGTGCCCTTGATCAGGAATCGAACCCATGACCCTCTGGTGCTTGGGCTGATGCTCTAACCACTGACAAACACTGGCCAGGGCCAAAAATTACCTAAGTTTTAAAAGTAACTTTTCTCTAGTTAAAATAAAATAATTTCAGTGTATTATTATTATTTAACCTACCTGTATGAAATAAAGAGCTTAATATATAAAAAAGTTCTATTTTAAGTCTTTGATTTATAAGTTAAAGAAAGACTTGACATACACTTGAGATACAGCACTACACTTTACTTTAGAGGAATTAAGATCTTATTCACATTGCTTCCCAGGTCCAGAGGCTGGGAAGAAGTTTGGTTTTTGTCTTCTTTTTATTGATTGTCCCTGACTGGATTCCTTATTTTCAGTTAGAGGGGAGGTACTCAAAAAAAATGATTATAATATTCATAACTTTTTCCCCATCATTTTCTTATGAAAAATTTACAAATATAAAATTAAAGGAATTTTATTAAAAACACTTGCAAACCTACTACCATTAACAACTTATTAATTAACAAATATTGAGTTCCCTGTAGTGGTTTGCACTAGTTGTAACTTTTAAAAGATACTTTTTGAACTAGTTAACATTTTAGTTTAAATTTTATAAAGAAAAAAACCTGGGAGACTGCCTAATGTAAAGAATTGCAAATAGAGCAGTGTTTCTCATACTTTAATATGCATAGGAATCAACTGGGGTGTTTATTCAAATCTAGATTTTAATTCAGTGGGTCTAGGTTGGGACCTGTGATTCTGAGTATATCCAACTGACTCTCAGGTGATGCTAACTTTGGTACCTAGACTGTAGTTGTAGTAGAAAGGCAATAGAAGACAGTAAAAGGAAGTCTTATTATTCCCACAGTGCTGCCTTCCACTTCTCATTTGATGACCCTAAAATAGCTGTCTTCTTTCTTTGTTCTGTGGTTACTATTTCAGAAGTATTAGTTCATTCTTAGAGTTTGATATTAGTGCTTTAATATACCACAGCATTCATAATTAATCAGAAAACTACCTGGTTTCCTTTTAAAATAGATTTTTAGGCTTTATGCTATTTTTGAGGGGGAAGGAAGGTAAGGAAGTTGTATGTAGTGTTTTTGATATGGAGGTGGACTAACTTAAATTTGCTTTGTAGACATTTATGTGGATCATCTAATGAAAATATAGAGTGATGTAAAGGAATTCTTCTTAACCTTCTAGTGCTCACCTTATATTTATATACTGTTTTATTGGTATCTTTATATAATTTATGTTGCTAAACTATAACATATTTAGTTTCTGATCTTTGTTTTATTACATAGACTTGTTGATTTGCCTTTCAGAAGTTTATTCATCTTCTTCTGTTTAAATTAATTTGATATTTGCATGCTTTTGGAAGACTTTATAAAGCTCTATTCAAGTACTAATTGTGGAAATTATAAAATGAAATGTAAATCTTATAAATTTTGTATCCATTTTTTTGTGTGAAAATTTGAAGCCCTATTTTCTGCAGAGTATTTTATTTGTTACTTATTTGCTATTATTTGTTATTTGAACAAAATAAATATGCATATCCTTCTTGTATTTTATCAACAACTACTTATTTTCATGTCCTAGATTTTGGCCTTGAGCAGAAACCTAAAACAAACACCAAAAAGCATTATATTTAAGGTAGTAGGAACAGGACATTCATTTAGAGCTTCTCATACGTCAGGGGCTGGCACAGTTTCTCTGTTCAGGGCCAGATAATAAGCATTGTGAGCCATAAGCGGTATCTGTTGCATTTTTTTCTCTTATGTAACCCTTTAAAAATGCAAAAATCATTCTTAGCTTTTGGGCAGTACAAAGAAAGAATGTGGCTAACATTTGACCTTCTGGTTGTAGTGTACTGATGCCCAAATTCTTCGGGGACTGTATTGTTTGGTTATACATTAGAAGTTAGGGCAGACTTTTCAACTTAAAATTACTAATGTTAGCCTGTAAAAATCTGAAGTAAAACTTATGCATTCTGAAAGGGAAGTAGGAGGGGGGAAAACAGGGAAATTTCTCATAATACTACTTCTTTAAGATAAGTGTTGCAGAATATATATTTCATCAACTTTAAAATGCCCACTGTATGGCTAGGATATAGTGAATTATATTTCTTTACAATCATTTTAATCCACATCTGAAAGGCTAAAGTAATGTTTATTTTCTGCTAGTGTGCATTGTGTGTGGTTCCCATGCTCCTACTGTGTAAAGACTGCTACTTGGTTTACATTTATCTGGGCAGTTAGCAGTTGCCAGATTTTCCTGGCTTCTCTGGGCAGTGAATGGCAGTGTGGGCAAAGGCTGTTGAAACCAAAACATTGACACCGTGGTAGTCAGCGTGTGTTTTCCAGTGCCCACAATCAAAAGTGGGAGGTTCGGTGAAGTGGATGACAGAAGCAGAAGTCTCAGCATATTTGCACTCCTGATTCAGCTTTTTGTTTGTTTGTGTTTTTGGTTTTTTTGTTTGTTTGTGTTTTGCTTTCTGGAGGTCTCAATTTGAGCATAATGTGAAAATTAGTTTTATGAACTTAAAAATGTTGAGTGATCCTGGTTTTTATTGGTAATTTCTGGATACTGAAAATTAGTTGTTTTAAGACCTGCATTAAAGAAAGTTTTTGATCAAATCATTTTAACAAAACAAACCAAACAAAAAACCTTATGTACCATACTTTTGTTTATTAGTAGTTGAATTTGTGTACATGAGGTCAGTATTTTGAACTTTAGCTTTTTATGAGTTAAAAACAGAACAGTTACTGAGCAACCTCCGGTATGCCATACTTAGCTTCTTGATTAGTGGTATTACTGCATTTCAGTTTTAAAGGCTGTAGTTTGCAAAGTTTTTTGAGAAATTTGGCAATGCACAGTTCCTTTTCAGAACACACCTTGTTCCTCACGTTCCTCTCCCCTAAGAAGGCTAATATCTTGCATGTGACTGTAATTAGGGTGATAGAATGTTATTTCCTTGAGTTTGCAAGAATTTTTGCAGGTAATAAACCATTCAGATACTTGCTTAAAATGAAATCTTAGTTGAAAGTATTATAGACACTAGGATATGGAATGATGCTATTAACAGTTCTTTAGTATGGAGCACTCTATTGCCTTAGTCTCACAAGTATGTTTTCAGATAGTAGCTGAGCTGAAAATATTGTCAAATATCTTGCTTTTTCAAAAATATTTACATGTATAAACTTGTACACATTTGTTCCTTCATAAATATTCCCATTCTTAATGAACTTAAAAATGTTGAGTAATCCTGGTTTTTATTGGTTATTTCTGGATACTGAAAATTAGTTGTTATAAGACCTCTATTAAAGAAAGTTTAATTATTAAGTGCCAGTTAATGCCTAGCAACTAGCCACAGTTGGGTATTGAATGTTCAGCTATAATTTCTTTAAAAATTACCTGCAAATTTTGGAATGTGAAACCATTGTTCTGTGTCAATGCCAGTGGTTTAAGGTGCATAAAGGATAAATAATAATCCCTTGATGTCAGTATGACCTTAAAGCATATAACCAAGAAATAAGAAGTATTTAAATCTGAGAAAATATGGTAAATAACTGATTCCTTAAAATATAATTTACATTTTCTATTAGTCAAATTTAATGAAAAAGTCATTTTGGAATAACTGTTTTTCTGTGTTAATCATTTTAGCAACTGTGGTGCTAATACTGAATATTTTGGTGGTGGGTAGTAATCTCTTCTTTTTAATCATTGGCTTCCAATTCTCTCTCTGCATTGCTGGAAACAAAATTATATATTCTGGTATTGGTGATGGGGATGTGCACACTTATAAAGTATACTCTTTCAAACTGATTTTAAAAATAAGTTACAATCAAACTTTGCTTCTGCTAAATTAGTAGAGGACCAAAACCCTGTTTTTCTCCTCTCATAAAATGTTTGAGTACCTCTACATTGACCTTGTAACTTTTAAAAACAGGAGTAGTAAATCTTTACATTCTTAACAAATATGAGCTTTTACCTGGTTTGTTTTATTTATATATATGTATATTTTTAAATTCTTGCATTAATTTTCAAATTTAAGAAGTATTTTTATGATTTAAAAATAGAATAGTTACTGAGCAGATTTAAAAAGTATGTGAAAATATATTAAATGCTAGCTCATGCTTTACATTTTACATGCTCTACAAAAGTCATTTTAATGCCTTAAATTATTTATATTATTTAGCAGTGAGAATTTCTAATATATAATTTTAAGGACTTAGGAGTAAAAGTAAATCCTCTCCTTGAGAAATAATGGTAAATATAAAATATTAAAAATCTTATATACAGGTACAAGTGGTAATGTAATTTAAAGTACAACATATTTAATGATTTCAGAAAATTATTGGATATTTTTATTTTGTAGTTATCTAGTAGTTGATTAAATTGATTCCATTAAAAATAAGGTACACATTTTCTAGGGCTATAGTGATTTTTATATTAGATAGCTGAATAGAAATATAAGTAACTTTTGAGATGTACATTTTAATATATAATCAAAATATTATTTAAATGCCCACTTCTTAACTGAAACTTAATTTTATGAATTTTAAGTTAAAGTTTTACTTTCATGGTAAATTACCAAACTCTACCAAAGTAGTTGATATATTTTTGAGATAAAAATTAATGAATTGAGGTACTTCCTTTTCCTTTATTACAAGCAATGGATATGCAGTGACTTTGGCATAAAGAAATTAAGCCTTACCTGTCAGCTTACTGCAATTAATACTAAAATGACTGATTCTCTGTGCCTGATTTAATGTAAAACTACAAATCATACATTTGGCATGTATTAGCTTTTTAATTATTTATTTATTTACTTATTTTTAAATACATTTTATTGATTTTTTACAGAGAGGAAGGGAGAGGGATAGAGAGTTAGAAACATCGATGAGAGAGAAACATCGATGAGCTGCCTCCTGCACACTCCCCACTGGGGATGTGCCCACAACCAAGGTACATGCCCCTTACTGGAATCGAACCTGGGACCCTTGAGCCCTCAGGCCGATGCTCTATCCACTGAGCCAAACCGGTTAGGGCTGTATTAACTTATTAGGTGTTAAGTCCATTTGGTCACATTTGGTTCATAGAAAGACTAATATTACCAGTTTTAGAAAGTTAAAATATTCCAATCTCCAAGTAATTCATCCTCAAAAATTAAAATTAAAAAAACCGTAAGCTTAAAGTTAAATGTGCAATCAAGCAGACCAGCTTTCTTAAACACTTCATTCTTTGAGAAGAATACGCACAAGTATTACATCTTTTAAGTTAATTTGCACTACATGTAGATGCATATTTGTGTGAGTTTCTGTTAGATGTAAGCTTCTACTTTGATGATACATTTTTCAGGACAAAGCAGCAGTACAGTTAACTAAACACTTTGTCCCACTTGGCTATTGCCTAATTTTCTGGACTGGAAAATATATTGTTGATCTCCATATATAATTGTGTTTGTCGCCATAATTTTCTTCCCATAGCCTTAAGCAGAAGTCCCTTTCTCTTATTTAGAATAATTAGAATGCTAGAAAGTATAAGGTCAGTATAACAGGATAATGTTCTAAAAGTTATTTTTAAGACTTATAAAGATACAGAATGCACTGCTGCTGTTTTTTGTGTATCTTAAACAATTCGCAATGTTTAGAATTTAAATAATGTAGTTATCCATCCACAAAAGTCCCAGTTTCAGCTTCACTTGTCCATCCTAGAATTTCAATGGACAATGTTGTAGTTGAAGATAGAACTCAAGATTCCAGTCTCTTGACCTGACTGTATTTTGAGGTGTGTGTGGGGTGTTGTTGTTTTTTTTTTAAGAAAAACATAAAGGTTAAAATCTTTTTTGTACCACTTTTCTCCTCCCCATGTGGGGTTGGAGTGGGAGGGGTGGGGGTCAATGCTAAATAAAACATTTGTTTTCCCTAAGTCAAAGAAATAATTTAAATCTAACTTTAGGTTTTGATTAATTCTGTGACTAGCAAACTAAAATGATTGCACTAATACCTGTACTTAAGTTTTTCAGAATCTCCCAATTCAATTGCTAACTTGAATTTTCTAAAAAAAAAAAAAATCTAATTACATTACAAAACCTGACTTTAAAGAACAAACCAGGATTCAAGCCATATTTTAAAATTGCATCCCTAATTTTATTCACGCAATCTGATGTCTGTTTTTAAAAAGAAATTTTTAAGAAAAGCTCATAATTTCAAACTTCTTGCACATGGCTGTCCCAATAAATTACTATTACCAATGAAACAGACTTTAAAGAAGTTGTGTTTTACAATGCAGAGAGTGGAGGATGCTTTTTATACATTGGTGAGAGAGATCTGACAATACAGATTGAAAAAAATCAGCAAAGAAGAAAAGACTCCTGGCTGTGTGAAAATTAAAAAATGCATTATAATGTAATCTGGTAAGTTCAGCATATTAATTTTAGCAGAAAGTAGATGTCTTTTAAAAGTAACAAAGGAGCAACCACTTTAGGACTACCTAGTTGTGGGCTTTTAATTTGAAATATTAAAAGAAACCTCACCGGAGGAGGGTAGAGGGGTGGATGAAAAATGTGAAGGGGAATAAGAGGTAAAAAAAGAAAACAATTTTTTCTTGGAAGAATTCAAAGTAAAAAAATGTATCTTTTCTTGAAAAAAAGAACCCTGTAGTATGTTTCCATAATTAGTATATTGGAATTTTTAGTTTAATGGGTTTTAATTGTAATTGAGGCAGTTTTGATGGCTATAGACTACATTTGTCACAGGGTCTAGGAAAAGAAAAAAGTAGAAGAAACTATATAGAGTTTATAATGAGGTTGAATGTCCCAGAGGTAGAAGCCCTTTGCTAATAATTCTACTCACTGGCATCAACATCTCTTTTCACCCAAGTTAGAAACTGGGAAGTCTTCAGGTGACTCCTGCTTCCTTCCTTTTACCCCCATTTGGAGACAACCACAAATTCCGATGATGTTACATTCTAACTTTTACCACATCATTAGTTCAGTCCCCTTTCGTTTCCTGCTGGGACTATTATAACCTCTTATATGGTTTACCTGTTGCTGTCTTCATTCACGGTGCAACCAGAGAGATACAGTGGGGCCTTGACTTACGAGTTTAATTCGTTCTGAGATCGAGCTCGTTAGGAGCTAATTAAGGAACTCGTTAACTCAAATTACTCTATCAACTCAATGCAAAACATCGGCCAAGAGACAGCTGGTATCTCAAAAAACTCGTTAGTTGGGACACTCGTAAGTCAAGGCCCCACTGTAATCTGTTCATCCGTCATCCAGGGGCTGCTGGTCAGCCCCGGCAAGAAAGAGATTAACCAAAGAATTTATATGCAAATATGCATAACCCATGGACACAAACAATAGTGTGATGAAGGTCTGGGGTAAGGCAGGGGATGGGTGAAGGGTGGAGGAAATGAGGGACATCTGTAATACTGTCAACAATAAAAAAGCACCTTTTTGAAGGATGCTTAGGGCATGGTAAAGGAGAAAGAAC